AGTTGGCTTAACGTTATGAACAATCTCTGGTGATGCTTCATCCAAAAAGCTCCCGCACTTTAAACCGAATATCAAACATCTTTATTTTGTCATGGAGCTCAGTAGTTTTTAATGCATAAAAAGCATTTCTCCACCGTACTGAGTGCCCATTTAAACCACTTGGAAAGTGAATGGCCCTGCATCCCCCCCTCCCCTCTCATAATCAAAGAGCAAATTGAAAATATCCTCTCACATTTAGTCTGGTTTTCATTTTTCCATTTCCAGCTTGCTGTAGAGGTGGAAACAATGAGAGCCTTGTGAGTGAGATTGGAATTTCATTGCCTTTTTGGAGTTTGTAATCTGGCAATATGTTTTCTTTACCATTAAAGGGTATGCATTCTCATAGTACCATGAGTCAAAGAAATGGCACAGATAATGGAATCCTACATGTGTACCTTCGACAATCACATTTGCACCTCTTTGCAGACAAATCATCCATCAAATCTGCAGCAGTGAGTACGAAATATTGAATAACGTCCCAGAGAATTTAGCCGCGGACTCCTGGCAGGCCCCGCAGGCTCACAATGCACGCTGTAAAAGCCTCTTCCTCCGGTTGCTAATGGAAACAGGTTATATAGGTTTAGCGGAGGGCTGCAGGGATGGGTCGGCTGTCAATGTGTTGCTTGTTAAATGACTTTTCCCTCCTAGCGTGGCGTATTTACTTGTAGCTGACCAAAGACAATTGAAACTTCGTACTGAATTACATTCAACAAAGAAAAAAAACAGTTACTATCAAAATCATTGAACTGTTCATGGTTTCTCTGAATTGATTTAAGGGTGATGCTGTGGTCATGCACTTGGTTTAGAAAGGTTTGAAACCTTAAAACATTTCTGATACTTAACTTTATTATGCAATCTGCCTTCATTACTTCCCTCTGATAGAAGTGTTAGTGGTGTTTTTTTTCTTAAGTGCCGTAATATTCTAAGTGCCTGAACATAACCAGTACGTAAACCACCAAATACTGAAAGTTACATTAAGAAATAAAAAATAAAAACTTTACTTCATGCTTTCTGTCACAACCATCTTTTATGATGTAGTGATGCCAAAGAATTTTTTTTAAATCTCTTTCTGTTGACGAAAAGCTCAATTTGGGAATGAAAACTTTATGGCTCTTATTATTATGTAAGACATTGTTATGTCAGCAGTTTTAAGATATCTGCATCCCGTTGAATACATTTTGAATCCATCTTCCTGGTCTAGATTTACTGATTCTGTAATGTGAGTTTTAGACAAATGTATGACACCAATGGCTATTTCTCTCAGAGCTTGTATGACCCCCTTTTTCCTCTTTGTCTGAATCATTCCTTTATTTGAACTAGAATGGATTGCATTATGAACCAGATTCCAATTGGCTTGAATTGGATTTTCCATAATGTACCTTTAATGATTATGTTGTGTAATGGCGACATTCTCATGTTATGAATGAATCTAAACAACAAAAGGGTTTTTCGGCCATTGGATTGATGGCATGGGCACATTTCCAGGTGTTTTGGCAGCATTCCACCATAAAGGACCACTGAAATAAGGCATGAAGACCCATTTGAAGTCTTGGAGATTGCATCTCATCACTGATTTTTTATGATTATCTCAGAGCTGTACCAATCCATAATTTAAGTGATAAATGGCTTTCCAGAACCCATCTCAAAACAATGATGTGCTGCATTCTTCTGTTGAATGAGAATGTTTAATAAATGGGGAAATTAAGTAGCAAAAGAAAGCATGGAAACACCAAGATAACCACATACTTGGTGAGCTCAGAAAGAGTGTCTCTAAACTAAGCAAAGGTTATTATTTACCCGACACGGAACAAAGGCAATCTGATAAAGGGATGAAATGAGAGGAGCTGCTACAGAATTCAGTTTCAGGCGTCTCCAGTGGGAATTTCTATTCCCTGTTTCTTTTTTTTTTAATACCCCCAGCTGGTAAATCTCTCTTTTCAGCACCAAAAAAGAGCTCCTACATATTATTAATGGATACGAGAAAAAGCTGAATGGGTGATCATGTAGTAGTCTCTGTGGAGTGGAGAGTGTGAAAGAAAAGCTGGAACACGGAGTGCTTCTCAAAAACCTGTGGCAGTTTTTGATAATAAAAAAATTACACATGTAACGTAGTGCCTTTGCTCAAATAAGGCTGGTTTGAGTCGAGGACGGTGGGAGTTTCGTAAATCTTCAAAGAGGTGAAACGAAATAGTCCAGATCTTGGTTAAGCAGCAAATTTATTAAGTTTTATTAGTGCCAACCCCCTCACAGGCTTGCCTCATCTCCCTGTTTTCCTTCGTGCATCAGGATATTAAAATAGAACTACTTTCCTTCGAGCATGTTTCTTGACTTAAACGCTGGCTGCTCTGAGACAGAATTAACCCAGTTAAGCTCTGAAGGAGCAAAGTTAGAAAATTAATCCACCGCTCCTTTTGTGTCATGCTGTGTTGGTGAGAGTGCGATTCCCCCATCAGCGATGCCAGGATCCACTCCTGTTCAGGATATATTTGACCGAAAAGTACAGGAATCTTAACTCCCATTTGACCAAACAAGCATTTTTTAAAACTCTTATCTGGTCCTTCCTTACAGTACACTTAGTATCTTCCATACATTAACTCTGAGAGGCAGTGAGTGGGTGTAAAATAATACTCTGCCTCAGCTGGCAGGTCAAAGATTCCAGAAAAAATATGTTTTAAACTTGAAATGAAAAAAATGAATAATATCTAAAAAATTCAATGTCAATTTACACACAATTCACAATAGAACAACATGATCCCTCACTATCTCCTTCAGTCTGTTCCTTGTCTTACATTACATTACGTTGCTTTGTGCAGGTACGTTCTGGGCACAAAGAAGTGGAGGATGGGTGGGAAGGCCATCTTGGAAAGCTACTGAGGGTTCTGGGTTGGAGTCCCCGGGGGAACCAGGACCTTTCTGGGTGGAATCTGCATGTTCTCCCTGTGTCTGTGGGTTCTCTCCGGGTTCTCCGGCTTCCTCCCACCGTCCAAAAACCTGCATGTTAGGCTGATTGGACATTCCAAATTGCCCTTAGGAGTGAATGTGAGTGTATGGGGTTGTTGGTCCTTGTGTGTCTCTGTGTGGCCCTGCAATGGACTGACAGATTTGTGTAGGGTGTACCCCACGACCCCATTAGGGAATAAGCGGTAATGATAATGGATGGATGGATGGATGAATGGATGGATGGATGGATGGATGGATGGATGGATGGATGGATGGATGGATGGAAGAATGGATGGATGGATGGATGGATGGAAGAATGGATGGATGGATGGATGGATGGATGGATGGATGGAGGATTCAGAGCGTATTTGGTTTGAACCCTTTCAGTTTTGAGTAATCAGAGAAAAACTGTAGAAAATTTAAATGAGCCTTTTCTACAGACTTCATCTTTGCAGTAAAACTGAATGTGATCATGCGCTTTTTGAGTATCTTTTGAGCAACTGCTTCAGAGCAGCCTTTAAACCGACGAGGAACTTAAAATCGACAACGATTTGTGTTCAAGTGAGGGGGCTAAAAAAGACCCAGGTAACAAAATATGCTATTTTATTTCATGCACACTCCACCTGGAGTGATATATCATCAAGTATTACATCGTGTTCAAATGTAGACAAATTTAACCTTTATTCTTCTGCCAGAGGCTTTCCTGATGGAGACATGTGCTGCATGATAATCTGTCCTCATTGGACTTTGCAGCACTGTCGAGCACTCCCCAACCCTCTTTTGATCACCGACTGCCACACAGTGGTGATAAATATTTAACGCAGCTCCACTGCAGTTAGGTTTACCCTCTCTTACTTTCATAGGCGTTTATTAATTCAATTTCTGCAGCCCATGCATCAAACCTCCAAGATAATGTAATATATCGCTGGAATGACTGTGATCATGTGTGGGAGAAAAAAAAATCTAATTTAGCTTCACAAAACTTCCTCTTGAAACCTTTAAAACCTGTGAAATAATAATCCTGTCTCGTGGGTGTAAAAAAATTGAATCTACCTTGGCAAAACAATTCTGTTACAATATAACTTCAACCTCCATCTATTGAGTTTAATATAAGACGGGAAAAGATTTTAGAAACCCCAAAACTGGATAAATTCCGGCTAGTGCTATCGTCTGATTTTTTTTACCATTCCCCCTTTCGTCAAGTCACCTCGTGACAGTTTAGCTGACGCAGCATTGAGTTTTGACATTTGGAGGTAGGCACACACTATGTTTTGCCCATCTCTTTTTAATACAACTGTCACGGCGCATAACTATCAAAGGCTGTACACAGAAACTGTGGAACGGTCAGCTTCGGTACAATAGTGGACCCAGAAATGCCAGGATCAAAGGTGGAAGCAATGGGAATGAGACAAGCCGTGTCATAAATGTCAAAAAGTTTATTTTTGACATGCTTGGAATGCTAAAAATGGGTGGAAATTACATGCACATGCTAGGTCACTCAGAGATTATACCCTCAGTGATGTGTAAACCAAGCTGAATATAATGAATACTGTCGAGTGTTGACTTCATTTCATTTCATTTCGTTTAGTTTATTTTGAAACATGACATGATTTTACAATGTTTACATAGAATGCTTCCTAAACATGCATCATGTTTCAAAAAGGAGCAGGATGAAGCCTAAGCTTATTAAGCCCTAACCCACAGTTACATGAGTCGTGGTGGTAAAGGACGATTACAGTAAGACAAACAGTATAACTTTTTATGTATTATTCTTTTTTGTACTCATCAAAAATACTTTTCTTATATTGTTTTTTGAATTGCTGGATGCTATCACATTGTTTAATATTTTCAGGCAAGCTGTTCCAGAGCTTCACTCTAACGCTAACTGATAAACTGAAGGTTCTTTTCGTTGTTCGAACACACTTAGATTTAAAATTGAATTATCCTCTTAGATTATATTTTCCATCTCTATCTGTAAACAATTGTTGACTTAATTCAGTGTGGGGTATTTTTTTTGGGCTTTAATGGTACATGTCATGTGTGGAGGAAATGGGCAGCACGGCGCGGTGGTACGGGATGCCGTAGATGGGGCTCATCCCCGGGTGCCGGAGGGTCTCCAGCTTGCCGAACTGGCGCAGGTGGAAGAGCAGGGTGAGCTTCCGGGTCATGGTCCGGAGCGCCAGGAAGGACGCCAGGATCTCAGATACGAGGAAGAGCAGGTAGACGGAGTGCACGGCCCTCTCCAGGGGCAGGATCAGGGTCCCCTCGTCGGTCACGAAGAACAGCAGCACCGGCAGCTGGAACGTGAACGACAGGAGCCAGAAGGCAGCTAGCTCTGGTACCTGATGAAGAAAGAAGGAGAGTTTGGGTCGTTTTATAGACATAGACAGAGCAGGAAGCCATCGGTTTGACAGTTACTGTCAGTGTTGGTCTGTAAATGAGCTTCGTTTTGTAGTCCAAGAGGTAAATGTTCGAATTACCCTTTCTTTAAGGTTGCCAAGGTAGCCCAGATAAAGCCGGATCACTTCAATGACTGTGACGAGGACCACTCCGGTTATCAGCAGAGCCTGGTAGTAACCAGGAAGATAGTGATACTGAAACAGAAGCAGAGATGTACAGTATGTAACTCACAACTTTACCCTTTATCAACTTTGAACAACAACTTCAGAACAACAGAATAATAAAGTGTCTTCAATTGTGATGTTTGTGTCTCTTACTTACTTCCATCACAGCTTTTATTTACATGTGATGGAGCCACCAGGAGATCACTTCTTACAACACTAGATGGAGCCACAACCTGACTTTTTTCATGCAACGTCCTCTAGTACAACATGAAATCAATGGAACCGGAAAAAAATCCGGAAAGGCTTTGTTCTGTTGACATTTGTTTCATTGATCTCATGATGATTGTACTATTTAGACCTTTTCAATTTGCAGATGTTTGATCAGCAAGAATATCTGATGGTCAGTAAACCTGTTTTTGTAGAACTTTGCATGCCAACCCACCCAAAGTAAGTCTAAGAGTACCACTTAGTTTGTTCATGCATTTTCTGTTCTTGGTGCTGTTGTTTGTTTTGTGAATGAAGGAATTGGTCTCTCTGGGTACATTCTTTTTTCTCTACACAACTAACCTTTGCTTCCAGCATGAATGCAGAGGAAAACAACCAACAGGGGAAGTAAAACATGTTGAAGTACAGGAGCATTTGAAGGGGAAGGTAAGACACCAACTCATTGATCACTGAAATGTGAAGAAGAAAAAAAGAAAAAAACAATAATGAAGACACATAATATCACAGTATTGTATTATGAATGTGTAATAATGTTAGATTTGACTGCAGTTGGGTAAGACATCAGTCTAACTGAGAAAAATGTTGCTAGCCAGTGATGGACAAACTATACACAGCATCTCAACTTGATATCATAGGTTTGAAACTGAATGGAAAGTAATTCAAACAACTGAAGCATGAAACTGTCAAAAATGACATAGAACCAAATAAGAAGAAGGTTGTGTGGAGACGATGGGGACTAGTGAGCGTCAGCTAAGATCACATATATCCAATTCCTTGGGTGATCCTTGTTGAAGTTTCATAAAAGGCGACAAAGACGAAGCTTCATGGCGTTAAATGTTTTATGCAAGGCGTAAAAAAATACAGACGTTCCCAATTAGAAGCTTCCATGACATCACCATGAGAGCAGTCTTTAACATTCACATACAATGACATGCTGGTATGGCTTGACCAATTAAGTAGGTGTAACTTTGAAAAGGGAATTACACATAGAAGGCACACACTCAAACTCAAAAGTTATGGAAGGAATTTATGCTTTGTAGCGTTTGCCGTATTTTAAGATAATTTTACTGCATGTTTTTCAAATTCAAAAAGGCATGAAAAAATGGTTGTTTATGTGACAGGCAACGCTGCCTGTCACAAACATTTCCACCCTGTATCCGTGTAGCTAATTGCAAGCATTGCAAAGAGAAGTAGTTTGTCAAAACTACTGTGAACAGAAAACGCTCAAACTGCACAAACATCCAGCCTCGGCACCTGAATCATCCCTCCTAGATCGCTTCTTTTTTCTGTGTACTCTAAACACAAAGACCGGTTCACAACGGTAATTATACAGGAGATTTCGAGGAAAAGACGGGAAAATGATCACCTTGGGAAATTTTTCTTAAACTGTCATTTGGCAGAGTCGTAATTATATGCAACAAAGTTTTGTATAGCAGTCTAAAGCAATCTGATGTCAGATTTAGAGGACATATAAAATGGCACATTTGAGGTTGAGTAAAATGGGTTAAAAAACAAGCTATGCCACTGATTTAGAGATGTTGTGATTGCCCTTGTTTTTCTAACTACTCTTATTGTCTGCTTTAGTTTTAATTGCCTATACAGGACTGTCTCAGAAAATTTGAATATTGTGATAAAGTTCCTTATTTTCTGTAATGCAATTAAAAAAC